GAATTTACGTTTAGTTTTTCATAGAATTTTTTCGTTCTAGATACCATGTATTCTTCAATTGTATTGACATTCTCTAGTTCTCTGGAGCTGTTTATTTCTTACGTACCACATTTATGATTAGATTTTGTAGTGCTACTTCAAATTTCATATGCGTTTCATTGGACTAATTAGTGAGGTGTGTATCAGTATAGTACACTCAACTTTAAGCGCGAATTTATTTATGAGACTATATAGTTCTGCTAGCCTTCCATAGCCTTGATTTAGTGCTCCAAGATACTTTAGCGCTTCATATTCATTTTTCCATCCAATTAGTTGGCAAATATTTTACCGGTTGTAGAGGGTTTTTATTTTTAGTAAATATTTTTGCTCCACATGTTTGTTCATTTGCTTTTAAGTTCCATAGGTTTAACCATATATTAATCTTATCTGCATTTGTTTACAATTGTTTTATGACCGCCATTAGTAATCTTTTAAAAATAAAACTGTGTCGTCAGCTAACATAAATATATCATTGTTTATAACTTGAGCGATGTCATGTCAATATTACTCAATATACTTGCTCTAATTGGTGACTTCCAGGAAATGTGATCACGAATTTTTGGTAGAGAAGGTCAGGAATGATAAAAAGACTAACTTGAGGTATTCTGAAATATTTGTATTGTAGTCTATCTAACCATGTTCTATTAAAAGTCTGCGTGATTTCGAGCAGCAGAGCCGTTCTGTTTTATTTTCAAAACCATTCTCCATTAAGTCGGGTAATCTCTGGAGTTGATGGCTTGATGAGTATCCTTGTTTCAACCCGAACTAAAAGGGTGGTAAAAGCTGATGTTCGTTGAGTTTGTCGCGTTAATATTCTTTTCCATATTCACATTTAACTTCAATCGCAATTTTTGTTGCAATATTATTTAAATTTTTTTAAATTTTGTTTGTAACAATTCTCTTTCTTTATTAGTGTGCAGTGGAAGAATCTTCTGATAGCGTTTTCGATACAGAAACAGGGAATACCATCCTTTTACACATTTGGTTATGTTTCGAACAGATTTGCCTTCTTAATGTATTCCTATAATAAGTTTTCTGACAATTTTAATTGAATATGATATTTTTATTTATAACACGTGCGAAGCTTAAGGACTGATCAAAAGAATATTCTGATTTATATCTATAATACTTGATAGGTGGACTTGATATTCAATTAAAACTTCACCAGTGGGCAGCTTATAATCTGTAATCGATGACTAATTGCAAAATTTTAAAGCACAGCTTCACTGATGTATTATCAACTTTTCATCGACAGTTTACCTTATAGAAATTTATTGCCATAAGAATAATGCTATTCTTATCAGATCCCCTCTGTTATGGAGCTCATCCAAACGTGGAAGATAATACTAAACTCGGTGAACGAATCTCCCACTCTACACCATGCGTGGCAATTAGCGAATAGTAATTGGGTTTATAATTACTAGTTAGTTTATAATTACTAGAGTATACATTGTCAATTTTTTACCGATTTTATAAGCCTCGAATTGATAATTCTAACTCTGAAAATTTACCTGCAGTTTTTCAAATGTAAAAAATGAATCATGTTATTTAACAAAATATGTATTATAAAAATATGTCCATCACACCATTACGCTGAATTTTAGACACACAAAATCAGATTACAAAAATACACAAAACCTTTTCCGCGAAAAGCGTTCTCTTGAAAAGTAAACAACCCATACAGCGAAATAGAATTGGGTCCGTATTGCACAATAAATGCAGATAAAAGTCGTCCTCAAAAGTTGTTTGCACTGCGACATTTGTTACTTAGAAAATTGAAGTACCCGCTACGAACTTTCGACCAGCGGCGTAGATGGCGCGCGCAATCCGGCCGCACCGGACCCTAAAGCCCTACGGCTATACGCCGCTTTCCGTTTTGTTTTCTTGCTAGTTCGCTTTGAACACGGTAAAGTTTACAATTCAATATAAGTTTCATTTCAGTAATAGCCCTTGCGTCGGATAAATGATACAAGTTCGTTCCAAGTACAGGAAGAGTGGAATTAGGGCTCACAATTCCCAGGATTTTATCCCTTTTTGAAGGCACAATACATATACTGTCGGTTGACAATGTCGTCTGATACGTTCTTTTGATAATTGACTTCAGCGAAGATATAAACATGAATTTTTGAGATGACTGTACAAAAGATCTCAAAATAGAAACGTTACTAAGCTTGTTTGAACCTTTATAAGTATTGTTATTACAAGATATAAAGTACCACAACTTAAATAATGTCAACATAACACAGCGGTAATTATTAAATTCTAAACGTGACTTTGCATCAAATTCTATTTTATTGTCGATTTAGTATTATTAGCTATATAAATAACGCACAGGTGTTCACCATTAAACAACAATGTTAATGACACTAAGTTAATAGCGAGGCTGATAGTGTGAAAGAGTATAACATAGAAAACAATAAACCCCAAAATAATACGAACAACGCAGGGGCCAAAATAGAAAGCGTCATTTCGTAAACAGCTGCTCCGGTAATAATTTATAAAGCGTCAACCAACAACTATGACCGCAAGCCGGGACCGGACACGAAAGTAACTAACTAAATAACGATTCCGTTTGAGAGTCCGACAACGAAAGGAGAACACAAAACGTTCCGACCGTCAACTAGTTAGTTAACGGGTGAAATACGAGGTCTAACAAGTGTTCCTTTTCAGTTACTTGACACAAATTAATAGCGAGTTAATTTTGAATGGGAATTCGGTAGGGTTACCGCCATTCCACTTCATATGTACCTTATAGGATGAAGTGTTTCATGTTTTGAAAAATTATACCGACCAGCACAATAGCTTGAAATTGGAATTTGAGAACTTGAGTACTACTGTGTCCTGTTGTTGATCGTATCATTTCGTTTTCTTAATGAGGTTTGGTCTACATCTTACATCATTCGACTATGTGAAAAATTGAACTACTTATTTTCAAACCAAGATTCACAAATCTCTTAAATTATTCATGATAGTTCCATAACGTTTTGAATTCAATAACGAGTTCATCTATACAAAATTGTTACATTTCCAAACACAGTCTCTCTTCTCTACCCACTCGAAGTATCAAAACCAAACCGTTACACGAACAATGCCGTATTGTCGACTTTAAGGCGTCTCTCTTACCAATATCAATCACAAAACGTTCAATCAACGTGTGGCGACGTTACCACGAGAGCGCGGAAACGTACATATATTCGATTACAAAACTGCCTCCTTATAATACAAAGACCCGGATTATACCGCCCGAAGGATCGTCTAGAACGGTTTCACAACACGTCTGTGGCTGCGTCGAATCGTTTTGAAAACGTCCATTCGCATCAGCAAGAATCGAGTTACAACTTAATCCGGTAACTGGACGCCTCGACAGTGCCCTCGGAATCAATTATCATGATTCAGGAACGTTGTGGTGCGCCAAGGAACTATTCGGTCATTCAATCTATAATGATAGGTTAAAAAAATGTGTCTTTTACTCAACATGTTAAAAGCAAAATTATAATGTTTTCGGGATTATCGCGTAATGATAATAAATGAGCACTTCCATGAACTTGTTTCCAACGAATCGCCCCCCTAGTTCAATTGTATTCAAGTGAATAAGGAATGATGAAGTAAAGCTGCAGCCAACTGCTATTGAAATGCAAACTTGGAAATAACACCTCTCTTCGTACACGATGGGGACTGTTATTTTAAGGCCAACCGCCACACATGGCAAACGCCCTCAGCCGTTTTATTATGGGGCAATAGTGCGTGAGCTACATAAAATCACACTCCGAAGGGATTAGGGATTGACTAATCTCGGACGTAATTTTCGAATACGACGTCGTAGGTTGTTGGCGCCGTCGTCGATGTTACTTTGTTTAAAACTTGGGGAGCGCAAAACGGGTCGCAGATTAGGAAATTGAATTTCCATGTTTTTAGACCGCCGAAACCCTTGCACGTGTCGTGGTTTATATAGAACCCACTTGTGTGGTAGATTACAAACGGCTGAATCATGTACGGTTGCAAATTTCAACACTTTACCAACACCGTATATTTGTCCGATTCGTTTTAATTATTACCTTTTATGTTTGAGTAAGTGAAGTTATAGTTGAGATATGGACAAGAAAATAGCTTGAGGAAGCTGTGGGCGTGTTTATACAGGAATAGTGCGTCATGTAACAAATTAAAGCCAGTTGTATCGTGCTCGACACATCTTGTAATGATTTATAGGGGACTTGCGTTCGAGTAGAGCAGAAATGAATGGGAAACGGGATACGCGTTTTCCTGGACGTGTAATCTCGTGACTCGATCGATTCGTCTGCTCCTGTTATTCAGCATCCTGTCATCCTGCCGACGAGCAGGAATTGGATGCACATGTTCCTCTTTTCGTTGTGGTCAGTAGCCTTTCGCCGAACGTGCGACTTCAAACACCTCGTAGTAATCTGCTGATTCTAATTAACGTCGAGACCGATCTCCAGCGTAATTTTTTATATTCGCCTTTGTAACTGAAAAGTGAAAAAAAATCTAACAACTTATTTTTTCGGAAAGATTTAATGATAGTATCTTGATTTATCACCATGAAGTAATCTAATTGTATAATTTAAGGTTAGCGGGTCTAGTTTTAAGACATTTCTAAATGGATAAAATGTTTTTAAGTGCGTAACGGTGTTACTAATACGATACGATAAGAATGATACAAATCTCCAAATAGGTACTTTCCGTTTGAGGGTAGACATCAATGGCTAACATATTTATCAAGCTCAATCACGTGACCGTCTGAACAGAGCACGTATCACGGTTAATGTGCAAGGTCATCGGAATAAATTGAACTGCGCGTTCGGACCCCATTCGTTTCTTTATTAAAATCGTGCCATTGTTTCTATAATGAGAACGGCGGCGATCTCCTTCCATATCTCGCCGGTTAATTATTTTCAGTTTGGGCTTTGTGTCGACACAAACGCTGTCTTTAGATCAGTCTTTGTACGCTAGTCGAAGCTCAAGATGAGATGCGGCCGAGATACAACGATTGGCTACCGTATATGGAGAACAATGTGTATAGCATCTTAATTGTGAGTATCGGTAAAGTCCGGATGATGACTTCTGGACAGGTGTTTACGGCAACATTTCTTTCCAAGTCGTTGCCACCGCGCGAAACTATACACCATGCGCGGAAAGTATTAATTAATGTTTTTTAATTAATAACTATAAAGCAACGATTACCTCTTTAAAACGTGAACATAAAATTCGTATTTCTCCATTAAGTTTGTTGTTAGTCACGCCATGTGTTAACTCGTAATGTGCAGTTAACACCGTAAAATTGTGGTCGGTAGAAATTTTCCTTATAAGCATTTTCAATTTCTAGAACTAATCTTTTTAACCTGCTATAATAGTCATACTTTAAAACCGAGGTTAAAAACATTTTCTTAAACAAGAAATAAACAGCTTTAATTTTCTATGAAATCAATTCTTAATTTTAAATTAAATAAGCTTATAATAGCTTTCTAGAAAAAAATAAATCTAATTAACGATATTTTTCCAAAAATTGCTTGCTTATTAGTTATCGAACAAATTAATATTTTGCTCCTGTATAATTGTTACAGGTCTCGATTGTAACCTCTCGCTTGAAAACAACCTTGACCACACTTTTTTATGGCTGATAAAAATAAATAGTTGTTGCCTGAAAATACAATAGCTAAAAGAGCAAGACACTTGAACTATTCAGATATCTTATTTATTGATATTATGCTAGATATATCAATACCCATTTTGTTTTAGTCATTATAAGGAGGTTTAACAAATGTTATTCTTAATCTCCATGGACTTAAACTTAATCAAATGAAATCGAATGTGATTGTATTTAGTCCAAAGTATCAAAAATAGATAGTCTTAAAAGAACTACGCATTATAGTGAACAATGAAGTCTTGCCAATTCAGAAATCAGTTAAAAATTTGGTCATTGTGATTGATGAGAGTCTGAGTTTCAATGAACACATTAACAAGTGCATTCAGAAAGCTTATAGCAGTTTAAGAATTATCTATCACAATACAGCCTTTGTGAATCGTAAATCAAAAATTCATCTATGTGAAAGCTTAGTTCTATCCATATTTAACTACGGTGATGCCCTGTATGCACCGTTTTTGTCATACATATTAAAGAATAAAATTCAAAAGGTACAGAATAATTGTATTAGACTGATATTTGGTTTAAAACGCAGAGATCACGTAAACTGTAAGTTGACTACTTTGAAATGGTAAAACATGCAGAGGAGAAGATCACTACCTCCGTATCTGTCAAAAAAAGTACGTCTTCGTGCGGACGTGCACTCGGTCAATGTTAGATTTAGGGGTAGATTATATCCACCAATATTCTATACCGCAAGTTTTAAAAGATGTTTTTCATAGAAGATATGCAAAGTAATAAACGAACTTCCTCCTTGTTGTGTATTGGTTGAGTGTGCGTCTTTAACCATTTTCAAAAGGCGCTATGCTGTTTTTTTGTTTGGGCAGCAGTGTTCTTAACCCCATTTATGTTTTGTTTTTTTTTCTAACTATGGTTTCTGGGAGAACCCTTTCGGACATGTTTATTGAAAGTTTCGAGGAAACTTTACTTGTATGATTTGTGTAACTTCTTTTAATTCTTTTTTAATTGCTTCAGTAATTAACTCTTTTGAACCTCATCATAAGTTTGATCATCGTAGATATTTATTTTAAGTATTTTCTTCTTGTACTTGTAATTGTATACACCTGATTATCAATAAACCATTATTATTATAATTATAGAAAAACATGTATAATGAACAAAGAAAATGTGATAGAAGAAGAAAGAAAAGATGATATGAGGAGATTCACAGATACCGCCGAGAGCTGATCGTGATTATCTAAAAAAAAAATGGTACTGCTTGCTTTCGGATGTTTTACCGACTGTGAGTTCTTGTCTGTTGTTCTGCTCTTATTTCTATCGTCATTAGAGGCTCAATATCATGGTTTCAGATATTCTTTGTATGCACTACTCAGCCTTGTTATTTACTATGATTTCGTTCATATCTTTTATTACCACAGCCAGTCCGTCTGCATAGGCCAGAAAGTTTCACCAATCTTGGACCTTTGCGAAACTTCGCTTTTCGTGTCTCCAAAACTTCTTACAATAAACATTCAAAGTTGTATGTTCTATACACTTCTCAAAAATTTTGGAAAACAAGGATGTATACTCATCGGATTTTAAGTCTTCAAGTCCTCAAAGGTTATTGATTTTTTAATTTTGGGCCTTATTACCTTTGATCTCACACTTTCATCAATTCGGAAACTTAACAATAAAGACCATTGTGTGAATATTCAATACAAATAATTATCGCCCCTTTTATCATATTATCATAATCTGTAATAAAGGAGTTCAAGTCTCGATTTACATTATTAAAGTCTCGTTTGTGTGTATAGAGTTATTGTTAAATACAACCTATTTGTTTGCTTGTATTGTTCGTGATGCGAGTTGGAAAAGCAAAAAATCTGTTGTATAAAAAGTATAAGATCAATGAATTTCCGTGAATAATTCAAATTGTTAAGAAGTCATAATTTCGCCTCACATGTACTAAGACTTTAATGTCATTTATCAAGTAAATGTCCCTTTTAGGCATTGAACGGATAATAAAAACACAAAAAGCATATTTTATGCCATTACTTTAATGGAAGAAACCGATAACTACGATTACGTTTAGGTTCAATACTTTATTACTTTTAGAATTAAAAATTACTTGTTAATTCAATTTTTGTTTAAACCAATTTTTATCATTTTTGTTCATAAATAAAATTATTAATAAATTATTTTAGATATTTTTAGTAAACAATAAAAGACATTGACAATGATTACCAGCTGGTAGGATTTATACATGACAACATCATTTTCCGAACAAAACGTATGGTTGTCTAAAAATTACTTCTTCGCTGTAGGCCGAAGTCTCATGTCAACGTCCATTAACGTAGCTCTTTGAGGCATCTAAAATACGGTATTTACAGTTGGAATCGACAAATTTATGTTCCCGCACTTGAATAGTAACCATTTCACGGACTGGCGATACCAGAAGACATAATTCAGAGCGTCTAGTCGCCGCCCCAGACACAACCCCACTTACACTTTCATAATTATAAATCTCCCCGAACGTGACATTAGATTTAATTGTCGCGAACGTCCCAAATAGTTATATATAGCTCCGCAAATGGCTTTGTTTATATAGAGTTGAAGCATTTGGTTTAGCTCTTTTGTGATATTATATGGATGAGACTGCGATGAAAAGATGAAAATACAATAGCTGTCTGTGTTGATTTTAAATGAAATGTGAGAGGGTTGGTATTTCTAATGCGTCTAAGAGAAAAGAGGCGTAAAGTGACAGATTTTCCCATCGTGGTCCTGTGGTATTTCGTTCCGGGTGCAGTGTGCGAGGTCTAGATTAAAAATGCCCCCGGCACGTTCTGAAACGTTCTCAGTTCGTTTCAGTTTAAATCAAATAACTGTACTGGATTTTACCCGAGGGGTCGCTAAACTTGTTACCAACTCTTTATTGATGCAACTATGGAACGCGGCAACATCTGCCTACTCGCGATTTATATCGCACACTAAAAACATTCCAATTATAACTTTGATTTAATCTTGAAAATAATTAACTTAGTCAAATCTTATCAATTCCATTTTCAATATTAAATAAATATTCATAACCACAATGTATAATGTAAATCATTTCTTAACCTTTACAGTTCAATCCTATTGTTATAGCGTATAAGTAAGTCGATACGGACAAAACATATATAGAAATGGGTTTATTTACATTCAGTTATGGTACGGAGTGTATAAAACCGAGCAAAGGGATCGGTTTTACGAGCATCGACGACGAATCTCGTCGCGACCATGTTACAATACCGCCTTTACTACTCTTTATAATTGTAGCTGCACCTAAAACCAATCGCGAGCCGTAAAGCGTTAAGGTACGCACTCGGCTAACACGTGTCAGCACGCACGTTACATGGAACAGTTTACAATTACCTGAGTGCGAGTTCACGTAACGATCGTGTCAAGTAGTTAAAGCCAGCGAGAATTGCAAGTACTTCACAGGCGGCAGTAAATCTGTAGATGTGTATTCGGGCAGAACGTCAAATCAAAACTTAACTGCAATGGGTAAGGTACTAAATGGTTAATGTACGATTAATCACAAAAGAAAAATCATTTAAAATTGTATCAAATATTTTAACAATTATGTAAAAGAAGTAAAATTATAAGAATAATTGTCTTTTATCAAATTAACCCTGGGGGCATTACCGTTCTGATAGTCAATAGTTACCATGTCAAACTATAATACTATCTACTAATACATACTTACTGTCGTTTATATTCTGATATGTAGATATTCTGAGTTTCATCAGCACGTCATTCTTCTCTAAAACATCCTCCTCCTATTTGGCCTAGTTTGCTTGATATTTTCTGATAGAACCATACGATTCTGTTACTAAATGTGTAACCCAGTCTTTCTCAACAGTTGGAGACCTATCGTCTACGCCTGTACAGTTTGCATACACCAGGCTAAGTTGTCAATCCATTGAAACCAGTGTCGCTTTATGCACAATCTTGATCATAGACTCGAGAAAATTATCTAAGACCGGTTTTTTAAATTTATTTTTTAGATCACTTACACAGGTTATTTGTTTGATCAGGCTTAGCATCAAGGCTTAGCATATTGATGGTATGGTCAACATGCTGGTTGTCGAGTCGTTCACCTTGTCGACATTCAATATTAAAGGACTTAAGCAGACGATACTTTGGATCCTGTACTATACAATTTAGTTTTGTTGGAATAGAGAGTGGTATCATTAAGCCAACAATTTTTAGGAATGTTGACGATTTGCCGATCATGGCAACACAGTTGAGGAAGTGAAAATAATGTTACAGTATACTACGTCTTATTTTGAACGGAATTAACTCTGCAATGTGTCCTTGAAGAAGTGGGAGATGATCCAGTAAATGATGTAAAACATATTCAACGGCCTCGTTCTGAACGTTCAAACGAGAAACTTTTACGAGGAGCTT